TGAAGACTTGTATACCAATGATACAGAACAGACCTTTCCTTCCAGATGGGACAGAATCATGTATCTGCAAGTTAGCTACAGGTCGTTGAGGGAAGTCATCCTTTCCATCATATTCTTGCTCAATCTCATAAAGATGCTTACTATCATCAACCTCCATTGACAGAACAATCTTTGGTGTATAGCTAAGAGACACAAAAGAGCTAGTAGTATAGTAAATGGTGCAACTGAGGGTGGGCTCCTGCTGCAGTAGAAAGGGGAGGATGAGATGTGATTCATTAGCAGTAATGCTAATCACACTGGATTTCATGACAGCTCAAATGTCATTCATTATGAGCATGCAGCCTCCTTTTTGCAGTATCAGGTATTCGGGACAATGTCAAATGCCGTTATACTTGGTGATTTATGCTGCATAATATTAAGCAAACACTTTACATGCATTATTCATGTTACTGGTATATTGCAGTATACATACTAGCATGTATAGTCTACATGTTAGAATCAGAGTTATTACTGTCCATATCTATTAGAGGAAGTGTATTGCATGCAAGATGTATATCATATAAAATATAATGTGTTAGAAAATATGATCATAGATGTAATGAAAATGAAGAATTCTAACCTTTTCAATTTTAGCAAAAATTGACAGGGAGTTTGGCCCAATTTTGGAGTAACTTTAGAAATTCGTAAAAAATCCAAATTTGATCAGAATTGGCTCAAACTTTTTACACAACAAAAGTACATGTAGACATGTGTATCAAAAAATTCCTTTTTAATTTTATAATTTTTACTTGTACTTAGGGGAAAATTGTCAATTTTAGGTATATATCTAATATTGATAGCCCATTTTAAGATACATATTGATATCCTTATGCTGTGTAGAAAGTTTGAGCTGATTCCGACTTCAATTTTTCAAGTTATGGCCATTTTGAGAAAATGCCAAAATTCTGAAAAATACCCAAGGCTATAGCCCATGGTTTTTTCCAAAAAATGGCTCCAAAATCACCCCAAATTTTTATTACATTTTCTGATACATATTGATGTCCTTATGCTGTGTAGAAAATTTGAAGTCGGAATCAGCTCAAACTTTCAAGTTATGGCCATTTTAAGAAAATGCCAAAATTCTGAAAAATACCCAAGGTTATATAGCCCATGGTTTTTTCCAAAAAATGGCTCGGAAATCACTCCCAATTTTTAATACATTTTCTGACACTAATTGATGTTATCTGATCTTCATTGCATGAGATCTAATTTGCAACTGGTGAATAATAAACTCTATCAACCAATAGATATAAATCTAGATCTATGTCAGTAGTACTAGCACTAACATTACTGACTTGATATTATTATTTTAGACACAGACACCTTTTTGGAAACTTGATGCAGCCTGATCAAATTTGTGGGTAATCATATCATGTCATTAAATAGTGTTTCACTTAACAGATCTAGCCTTTTTACTATCTTACTATTGGAACAAAAGAAAAAAGGCAGTTCTGTAGATCTATAAAAATCCAGGACCTTCCGCGAGGGCCCACGGGACTTTTGTATAAAAAGACGTGACTGGTGCGGGATCAAGGCTGGCTGGTTGACCGTAAAACCTAACAAAAGACTACTGTCACTGAGAGAGGCCCTGGAAGTTTTGAGCAGCTCCAAAGAAAGAGAATTTCAAAGATTCAACAAGAGAAAGAGGAGCCTTTACACTAGATCTACAGCTAGGAGGAACTGAGCTGTAGCTGTTAGCCTGATCATTTGGATACAAGATCCAGTAACCCGAGCAGATATAATTAGAGAAGTCTCAAATTTTAAGTAAGTCGTGCATTGAAGAAGCTTATGTTTTACAGAGAAAGCTTGTCAGAGCTGTAGCCTTCCTTTGCAAGGCCAGCCTCTTGTGGATCTAGACTAGTCAGTAGTATTGAGGTTTTTAGACAAAAGGTTTTTGTAGTGCTAAGATATCATGTTTTTTTGTCAATGTCCGGTAGGCTTGCTTTAATGTTGTCTTTTCTTCATTCTCTGCAGGTATTTTTAAAGCAAGCAACATGGCATCCTTAGTAGAATCAGGAGCTGAGCTCCTGCCTCACTTAGACGAAGAGAAGATGCAGTACATGGCTTTCACTGAAGCGATATCATTCGCGGAACAGTTCGAGTCCCCTCTATACGACCTTCATGAAGAGACGTTTCGAGAGCTCTACCTTCGCCCTTCTCCTCCACTCTCTCCCGACGACTGCGAGCCGTCCTGTAGCCAATCACCAGTAGAAGAGACTCCAACGAACAGTCAACCGAACCAAGAGCAGGCGAGAGTGCAGGACAATATCTCCACTGATGCTATGGCCGACTCGTTGATATCCAACATCATGGAGTATGAACAGATCATGGATGCGCTTCAAGAAGCCGAATTTGCTCTTTCCTCTGGTTCGAGTCAGCCTGCTGAAGACTTACTGATACAGGATTGCATGTGGAGTGCTAGCAGCAGTGATGATAACAGAACAAACTCGGGAGGGACTGATAAGAATAGTACTGATAGCTCCTCGACATCTCCAGCAACTGGTACAGAACCTTCTTCTTCATCTGCTGAGTGTTGTGTCGTAAAACCTTCTGCTGTCTTTCCCAACCTACATCATGCAGCACCACAAACTGTACGAGTACCTAACAATACTCCTGTAGTTCTCTCCAATAGACTCCAATCTATACAATCATCATCAGAATCAGGTAAGAAATTGTAATAATAATAATAATAATAATGTACAGTAGTATCTCTGTGTGTGGAGTAGGACCTTAGTGTATTGTGAATCGTTTGAGAGAGAAGAGAGAGGATGTGGACAAGACAGCTTAGCTTTGTGGATAAGATGGGTGTGTGTCAGTTACAGACACTTTATGCAAGTCACTAACTGTAGATTAATATATTAAGGAGAATTGTATAGTATCTTAATCTTATAATGTATAACCTCAGCCTAGACAGTTTCAACCTCACTGCAGTGATCTATACACACACAGTGTCCAGTGTGCTACATGTAAGCTGATCATTAATGATGTTATGTATAGTTACATAATGGATGGAGGTTTTTCAAGATTAGGAGTGCTATGCCTCTCAAAGAATGAAAATTGTTTTAAAGAGAGAGAGAGTGAAGAGAGAGACTCTTGAACTTTAAGGAGATCATTTATTGCCATTCCTCCTATTAAACAATAATATTGAGTCCCCAAAGCCTTCAGTTATGACAACCTATTACTATGTACTATGTACTACAATGCATTATAGTAACTGCAGATTTAATGATTCATTGTATAGATAGTCCACATTATACTTGACTATCCTATGTTCACTGTCTCTCTCTTTTTTTACAGTCTTCCCACAAGCAGAATGATACAACAAGCAGCAACTCTCAATGGTAATCATCATCCTCAGGTATCAGTGAATACATTATAGCTACTGATTCCTCTATCTCTTGTCTGTACAGTATATTCCTCAAGTTGCTGGTGGTGGCTATCAAACTACTTCAAGCTCCAGTCCTTGGCATAGCTATTATACTACACAGCCCCCAACAGCAGTAGTGGTGAGTCCTGTATATGTACTGTGAATACTGGAGGTCCCTCATCATGATTTATTATGCCCATATATAGCATTCATGTAGTGTATATATTGCTGGATGCATGTATAATTGAGAATTAATGGCCATTATTAGGGGGAGTTTAAGAGACTTTTAGTCTCCAAATTTGCATGATCTTGGTCTCTTGAAATCTTCCATTATTCTGTCTTTTAGGTCTGTTAGTTGACCTTCTAAAACTTATTCTAGATCTATTACAATGTCTTCATTGCATTAGATTCAATGACTTTATGTTATTGGTGATGTTAGCTAATGGTTTGTGGTGTTGTATCCTTCTATACTAGTACTGCCTCAATAGACACTGTATAAGCCACAGGCCACCCCTTCAGACTGGGAGCTCCTTTGGTCTTCCCTCTGGCTCTTTGTCAACTGTTCCTTTGTTTGTGACCTCACTGGACTAGCTGTGATATTGTTATTAGTTACTCCTCAGTTGTGATGTCAATTAATACTTTTACATTAAAATTCATTTGCATGCAAGGTAGTGCTGAGATAGAAAGTACTTTTATAGCCTATGCATGCATGCAGTGTCCCAATTAGCCTCAGCATTACTTGTACATGTAGTTATTTTCTACTTTCTGACATGCATATACAGCTTGAGACTGCAGTGTAGAACAATGCCACTATTCCTTTTAGTTAATCCAGTAACTATTGTCTTTATACATATACCTGTATTAATGATTGAGCCTATTGCCCCATATACAGGAGTCATTCCTCCTTTCAGATAGTCTAATGCAGTTAATGAAGGATTATATATCAATGATTTCTTAATAATTCTTTATATTTTAGTAGTAGTACATGTG